CTGGCTCCCTCCTCGCTTGCTCGCTCTATCTCGCTCGCCCTCTCTCTGACTATCTCCCTCGGTCACTCTCTCTCCTTCTCGCTCGCTCCCTCCTCGCTCCCTCCTCGCTCGAGACAACTAGCTCACTCTCCCTCCTCGCTCGTTTCCTCGCTCGGTCCCTCCTCGTGCTCGGTCTCTCCTTCCTCGCTCGCTCGCTCTCTCCTTGCTCGTTCGCTCGCTCCTCGCTCGCTTCCTCCTAGCTCGCTCGCTCCTCGCTCGCTTCCTCCTCGCTCTCACTCGCACGCTATGGTCTTACTCGCTCCCTCGTCGCTCGCTTCCTCGCTCCCTCGTCGCTCGCTTCCTCGCTCCCTCACAGCTCGCTTCCTCGCTCCCTCGTCGCTCGATTCCTTGCTCCCTCGTCGCTTGCTCTCTTTCCCGCTCGCTCTCACTCGCGCGCTTACTCTCGCTCTCACTCGCGCGCTTACTCTCGCTCTCGATCGCTTCCTCGCTCGCTCGCTCCTTGCTCGCTTGCTGTCTTCGCCGCTTGCTGGACTCCCGCATGTTGTCTTTCCCGCTTGCTGGACTCCGAACCCTTCCTCGCTCGCTCGCTCCTTGCTCGCTTGGTCGGCCGGCCGTTGAACCACTTACGAAAAAAACACTTCGGCTCTTTTTCCCGCTCGCTCGGCCTCGAGGCCGTAGAGTCTCTCGGTCGGTCGGTCCACTTAGTCGGCCCGGCCATTGGTCGGTCTGTCCGCCCGTTGGGTCCACCCGTTGGTCGGTCGGTCGGGCCTCACCACTCGTTGGGTCTAGTGGCACCCGTCTGTCGGTCGGCCTGGCCATTGGTTGGTCCATCCGCCCTGCCAGGTGGACTCCGGCCAGGATAACTCCGGGTTGAATTGTGAGGTCCCCGGCCTCGTCCCAATGGTTTTTTTTTTTTTTTTTTTTTTTCCTTCCCTTTTTTTTCTTTTTTTATTATTAAAAACCCCACTACATCATATATTTCCATAACCAACCAGTCAATGAGGCCGGGGACCTCACAAATCAAACCGGAGTTATCCTGGCAGCATCAGCCGGCTTGATGGACCAATCACAGAAAACACACTCCATCACCTGCTTTGGACGCCAGCATCCCAATGTTTTGCAATAAATGGTTAATACTTTCCAAAAAAAAAAAAAAAAAAAAAAAAAACCAGAGAAGTGGCTGTCTAATGTACGAGCTGTAGGTAGTAACACTCAGTCCGTGATAGGGCCGCTGTGGGCCGGTAGGAGTGTGTCAGTTGGTAGGGACTTAGTGGGAACTGGATACTCGGCCCCTGCTAGGGCCGCTGTGGGCCATTAGGAGAGTGTCAGTAGGACCAGGACGTCAGTCCTTTGGGCCGAGTTACTCCCAGATTAGTTATGAGAAGGTCTCTCACTAAGTTATTCTACCATTGGATATGAGAAGTCTCACAGTAGTATTGTAATCTGAGGTCGTGGGGCATGCGTTGCAGTAGTAACATTTATCAAGTTGCTTGAAGTTCAGTCTTAGACTCAGTTACTGGGTTGGTCGCTTTGAAAGGCATAGTTAGTTCATTTGTTATACTCTGCATTTGCAAGAACATCCGCAGGTCTCCTACCTGTAAGCTCAGTTGGCTGAGGTTGTCAGATACCCCCGGGTTGAAGTGTGAGGTCCCCGGCCTCTGTTTCGTATTGTTAATGAATTGTGGATTGATTAAAAAAAAAAAAAAA